CGAGCAAGGCATGCGCGCTGGCTTACAAGTGTCTATGAAGCTGCGATGACTGCGGGAAAGATACCAGCGGACTGGAGAACGAGAGTTGTGATACACCTGTTCAAGAAGGGAGATCACAGGGAGTGCTCCAGTTATCGGAACATTACCTCGCTGAGCCTCCTGGTTTAAGTCTGCGCAGATGTGTTAGGAAAGAAGTGCCGCGGAATAAATGACTTCAGGTTGCGAGAGGAGCAGTGTGGCTTCCGGCCCGGTCGAAGCCTTCCGATCACATACTCGCTCTACGGCAGATTACTGAGAAATCGTGGGAGTTCACCCATCCGGTGTATATGTGGTTTGCTAACCTAGAGAAAGCATATGAACGAATTCTGCGCAACAATCTATTGGCATACTTGCAAACATATGGGATCGATGGGCCAGTTGCTACGGGCTATCGAATCACTATACGCTGATAGAAAGTGTTGCGTCAGGGTAAATGGCGTTAAATCGTGACCTTTCAACGTCGGTATTGGTCTCCGCCAAGGCTGCGTCCTGCCCCATCTCCGTTTGTGTTGCACAAGGACAGAACAGTTAAGTGCAGCCAAGGCGATGAGTGTATAGGTGTAGGAGATGCCGAGATGGGAAGTTCGCTGTTTGTAGACGATGTTGTTTTGTCGGCATCTTCTAAAGATGATCTCCAGCGCTCTTTGGAAAGGTTCGCAGCTGAGTACGACGTGGTCGGCATGCATATGAACGCATCTTAAACGGAGAGCCTGGTGATCTCTGGTTCTCCTATCCGTTTCTCTCTTCAGATAAACGGAGAAGCAGTGGAGCAGGTAGAGGAATTCAAGCACCTCAGGGTCGCGTTTAGCGACGATGAAAAATGGGAGGAATAGACCGACCGGAGGATTAGAATGGCTAGTGACGTTCTACGTGAATTAGCTCGAACCGCTGTGGCTAAGATAAATCTGAGTCTGAAGACTAAGTTTTCGACGTTCGAGGCGATCTTCATGCTTAAGTACGACCATGAATCGTGGACCACGATTGAAAAACCTCAACCCGGGTACAAGCGGCTGAAATGGTACTGTCTCAAAAGATGAGTCGTAGGCCTAATGCCTGTAGACATGATCCGGAATACAGACAGCAGCAACAGCCTTGGTGTATAGCCGCCGCTTCTACAGACTGGGCAGTCACAGCTGCAATGGTTTGGGCATTGTGGCGAATGCCTCCAGAAAGGAAGGTGAAGCAACTACTGCTAGCCTAGCCGACCGGCTGAAGACCCAGGGGACGACCAAGATTAATCTGGGGAAAATATATGGAAGGAGTCAGCTCCAGACTCCAGCTATCTTCTGCCGAAGCTCATACTCCGGCACAGTTTCGGGAACGTTGGAAGCACTGTTTGACGTGTCTGCTCATGCAACTCTAAAAAAGAAACGGTAGTGGAAGATGAAGATTCAAACAGTTCAGTTCAGATCGCACAGGGAGTGCGCAACCACTAATGACGAGTTTGTTTCTCTTCCGGGGTCGAGGCTTCTCTACGTAGGTGCATTTTGAATGAAAACGGTGAATCCCTAGGTTTACACACAACAAGAATTTGCATGGTAAACTAGTCAGAATACGGTAAAATAACTGCATTCTGAACAACACCAAACCGAGACTTGCCAGGCTTGACTTGATCCGGTCAGTCGCATTTTACGCCTTAGAAACTTGCTTCCTGAAATGAAAACGACTGATTCGAATATCTCGGAAAGCCTAAAAGCCAGTGAACGGGCCCTGGAACAAGTTGCGGTTCACGCTCCCATTTCAGAAATTGTACATCGGCGAAGGTCGTGATACCATGAGACACTGCCTGAGAAAGAAAGCACTAGAAGACTATACTATTCATTTATGGTAAGAATGATACAAGAACATGAACAAGAATGAGTATCATTCAAGTTATAAAGGAAAACATAACGCGAGATGTGAAATTATGAATCGTGCAGTTTGCCATCAAAACCAGAGTTGGCGTGCAGACGATGACGATGAGGACCATAGTCCCGTAAATATAACGAGTTGTTCGTACGCCAGACCATATCAAATAATGCATGAACATTCAAAAACCAGATTTCAAGGCGTACTGCAAAGAGCCCTTGATCGTAACGTCCAGCGTGGTGGGGGGACATATATAAGGCCAAGGTTCCATGATATATGAAAGGCGCAATATGCCGTGAAATGTGGTCTTGGAATAGTCGTCGGTTATTTGAGGGTCATAGTCATGATCGTAATAACGATGAGGACTAGTGTATATCGTGACTGTGGTAAAATAATGATGACGATTATGATGATCTTCAGATCATATAGTAAAACGCGCAGCTATCAAATACTTTATCCATTGCTCTTTTCAAAGCTAAAATGAAGTTTTCGTTAAACAGGCGCTAACATTTCTCTACATAAAAAAATTGGAACGTAAAAATATTATATACTGATTTCATTAATTGCGAAAAAATTAAATCAAAATGAATAAAAATCGGCAGTGCGATAAGATACTTTCCAGACCAACATGCGTGAGTTAAGAAATCGCTTCTAGGGCGGAACGATCTTGATCTTGACAAGTACAGTCTCTGGTGCGAAACAAAGTCAGCCAACCAGACAGCAGCTTCACCAAGAGTCAATCAATCATCGTTTCACTTATATAATGGCCAGTGGCTAACTATTTTTAGCTGCGTTTGCCATGCTGTCAAATCCTTGTGATGATGAAAGGCATAAGGATCGGGTCAGAGAGAACACCCACAATGACAGGTAAAAGAGGACAAGATTTCTGAATTAATCCTTATGGGCGGTTCTTAACAAGTAGTGTACCAAGGTCCTTAAAACTATCAACTCGTCGCTGCTCAATCAAAACTTCTCAAGTGACATCGCTGCCTATGAGAAAGCACCTCAAGCCACGATCAAACACGCACCATTCGGATGTTCAACCTGGAGCATATCTGATTTTTAAGCAACACCTATTTACCGCAGTAGTCATTTATTCGTCAACATGACACGATCAGAAAGGAAAGCAAAAATAATGAAGAAATCGGTCGACTTTTAATTGGTGTGAGGCACAACAAAGGCTAAAACTGAAGCGCAAAAATTTTGTAATAATATTTAGAAACTCACTAAAAACAAGTCAGCTTAACTCACCTATGCTTAAAACAATCATTACATTCGTGAACGATGTCGTTAAAGTGTAAAAACGACATGCGAAGTTTCTTGCTCCTCAAACCATAAACGAACAATTCGCTCGACAATTTCAGCACGTCAAGCAATCAAGCTTCAGAAACGAATTTGCATAATTCAAAATTTAAACTGGCCAATTATAACTCCAATGTTGCGGGACCAAAGCCCGGTTGAGAAAGAAGGGTTGGACACCGTGGCGAAATTTCAGGAAAATTTAGCCACCTGCAGCTCATGGTAATCACGCCATCGAAAATTATACCGGCTCGGTCGTCGCCCTGATTACCAAGGGCCACGCAGGCTGTTGGTGCACTGAGGCAGACTGCAAAAAGTCGGCGATAAGAACCTGTTCATCACCCTCTGCCAGCCCTCGGCGTAGCGGCACAAAAACGGCTGAAGAAGACCGACGGAACGACGACGAATATACCAAACAGCAATGGAGTCCCTATCTCTTCTGAACGGAGGAGGCAGACACCGCGATGGCATCATATCACATCAGAAAAGGCTCCACTTGAATGACACCACCAGTGGGAGCCTAAAGTCGGAAACTGGAACATATTCTCACTCAGAGGAAAAGAGCAAGAACTAGTTAATGAGGCCATAAAGTACCAATTCGACATTGTTGGACTCTCGTCAACCAACTGTCCAGCCTCTGGAGTCCTGAACCTCAATAGATGAAAGCTGTTCTACTCAGGCGTCGACATCACGACTCAAGCTCAGGCCGGTGTTGGCGTTCTGGTAGAAGCGAACCTTGCCGATAGAATAATCGATTGGAAGCCTATCAGCGGAAGGGTGGTAATCCTTCGACTGAAGCTACAACAGGCTAAATCGATTACCTTGGTACAGGTCTATGCGTCCAATTTGGAAGAATATGAGACCTTCCTTGAGGAAGTGCAGTGTGCTCTGTCCGAAGTGCCGAATACAGAGTCCCTCTCATTAACAGGCGATTTTAATGTGCATGTGGGAGCAGACGCCGTAAAGTGGAACGGCGTGATTGACAAAAAATGGCACTAACGACCTTAACAATAGTGGCATGAAGCCGTTGTGGTTTTTGCAAACAACGGACTGTCGATTATGAACACCTTCTACGAGTAACAAAGACCCCATCTGTATACTTTATAGTTAAGCTTTGCACAGAAGTCGGTGATCGATTTCATAATCGTATCGTCTGACTTAAGACGCTCAGTTATGGATGTTCGCGTTAAGAGAGGCGCAGAGCGATCAAGTGATCACCACTTTGTTGTTGGCACTCTGCGCTGTAAGAAATGGAGTATCATACGAATATCTGTTGGCAGAAGCAACCAGAGAATCAAATGGGAAACATTATCTTCGGTGGACACGAAAGCGAAATTTTCAAACAACATCGCACGACGGATTGATCTCGGTGTTGACAACTGATACGGAAACCGAGTGGCAGCACTTTAAGAGCGGCATACTCGAAGCTGCCGCCGAATCCTGCGGATTCAAACGGGTTGGCCTGTCGTCTGGAGGTCAGAAAAGATCTTAACGCTGGACACGAAAGTTACAACTGACAGTTAAAGAGAAGAAAGCAGCGTTCGAAAAATGGCTTGGAAACAAGGAGCCATCTACACTCGTGCGATATGTCGAGGCACGCAAGGCGGCCGCCATAGCAGTGGCAAAAGCCAAGGCTGATTCCTGGGAGAAGTTCGGTGAGGTGTTGGAGTCGAATT